TCACATTTAGAACAAATATCAGCACCAGTACATTTTGCACAATTTGCTGCACATTTTGTACACGTTTGACCACTTTTATAATACCCATCAACACAGCCAGTACAAGTGTTAGCATCGCTGCAAATTGAACAGCCATTTGTACATTTATTGCATTTACCTCCTTCCAAATAATATCCATCAACACAGCCAGTACAAGTGTTAGCATCGCTGCATTTTGAACAGCCAGTTTTACATTTTTTGCATTTACCTCCTTCAAGATAATATCCAGCTGTACATGAAACACAAGTTGTTTTATCTTCTTTGCACTTCGAACATCCCATTACAGAAGCACCACAAGTCACTTCTTTTTTGCATTCTTTATTTTCAAGATAATAATCGGTTTTACATACAGAACACGTCTTAGCATCAGTACACTTCGAACAACCATTTGTACATGCTGTGCATTTGTTATTATTTAGATAATATCCAGTTGTACATCCAGAACAAGTGTTAGCATTACTACAAGTTGCACAACCTTCAATTGTACATTTCGTGCATTTATTATTATTATCATCCAAATAATAACCACTTAAGCATGCGGTACATTTAGTAGCATCACTACATTTTGAACAACCAGTTGTACATTTTGTGCATTTGTTATTATTTAGATAATATCCATCATTACAACTAGTACAAGTGGCGGCACCACTGCAAGTTGAACAGCCATCCGAACACCCTTTACATACATTTTTTTCAATATAATACCCATTTATGCATTTAGTACAGACTGCAGAACCGGTACACTCAAAACAACCTTCTGAACATTTTGCGCAAGATCCATTTTCTTCTAAATAATACCCATTATTACATTGTTCGCAATTATTCATTTCGGTACAATAATAACAGCCATCTAAACATGCTGTGCATTTTCCATTGTTAACATAATATCCTACTTCACATCTTTCACATTTAGTTGGATTATTTGTCGTACATGTTTGGCAATTTTCAACAGGTGGTTTACATTCATCTGAAAAAGCAGTAAATACTGTAATTGATAAAAAGATTAAAGTTCTCATAGAATGATAATCAAGTTGATAAAAGCGTTTATATACCCAAATTAATTTATTTTTATTTAAATGTTTTAAAACAAATTGTCTTTTCGATTGTTCGACACGTTTGGTTTGCCGACCTCTCGTTTCAATTTATTATTAACATTATATCACAATGATAAAACAATATTAAAAATATTGTAAACATCAACAGGCGTAAGTTTTATTGTTTTGCAAATTGAAATTAAAATTACAAAATTACATTTTATAACATTATTATTATGTTGTCAAAATGATAAAAAAAGTAATATTAAATAAAAAAATAATGTTATAATATTGACATTCAATAATAACCACATTTTTAACAACAATAATTAATTAAAAAAAGCACAGTTTGGTTATGAACTTGTTTTGTTTTTTGAGTCTCATTCAACTCTTCCATCATTTTAAATTAATTAACGTAATATACATACAAATGTTTAAATTGACAACATATTCATTGTTTTACACTTTGTCTGTTTTTACTATTTATAAACTCTCTTTTTTCCACATTTTATGATTTTCTTTTTGGAAAAATAAAATCTTAATTTTTTTCTCAAAATTTTTGTTTTTAGATTACTCTTAGAACTTGTTATACCATTTTTAGTTTATTATAAAATTATAGTACATATTTAACAAAAAATAATAAGTAGGAAAAGGCACGCCTAAAGAGAAAGTCACACATGTTTTTGATTTTATTTTTTTTTGATTTTTTTGTACCTTTTTGGATTAAAAAACAAAAAGTAAGTTTTTTCTTCTTTCATATGTTTTGAATCGAAATTAATTATTATACATTTTTTAATTCATTTTCAATCATATTTTTTTTAATTTGTGGTTTTCAGCTTATTTCCCTTTTAATTGGATTTTTTTATCTGTTGTTTCAGATTATTATGTTTTGTTTGTTTTTTACTATGTAATATTAATATTATATTATAAATCATTAATAAAATGTTTTAGTAAAAATTAATTTGTTGTTTGTTGAAAAAATCTAAAAATAAACAAAAACAAATTCGATAATATAGTTTTTAAAGTCTCAATAACCCAAACATATTGTCTTTTTGACAATATGTTAAATTTTAGATCAAAATACAGTCATTGTATCATCACAAATCAACAACAATTCAAAATAATTCCGATACAATATAATAAAAAGACGTATCATCGATACTTTCAATGTCATAATTTTTATTTTAAGTGTTAATTAGTTTAATTAATATAAATTATTTTTTAAATAATTTGTTTAAAACTGGTTTGTGGATCTAAGACAGTACGACATCTATAAAAAGACTGACAAAAAATAAGAGATTATATTACATATAGAAGAAAAACCAGTGATCAAACGAAATTTAGCCGTTTTATTTTTGATATAAAGTTTCCTTGTAATGGAAAAACCCCAAATCCGAGTTTTTGGAAGATATGTTGGTTTATTTTGAAAAACCAGGGACCAACTATTAATAGACACACTGTTTTTCAAATAAAATAGAAAAAACTATAAAATATGAAACTCTTAATTAATCATTCAGAGTTGCATTATTTGTTAATGCCCAGCCGAGCCAAAGTAAAGTTTGTTTTTTATATTGATTTATCTTCCGTTGTTGAATACGTTTAATAATCATCGATCATTTACTTTATACCTAACATTCCTATGATTTTATTATTATTTTTTTATTTTCATAAACCGCATTAGTCACCTTTAATGCTAAACGAAGAGTGACTTATTGAATCAACCGAATGAATAGAGATAACTACAATGGCTTTTTCGAAAAAACGAATAAACGGTTTGATTGAATGGTTGTGTTGAAGCTGAACATGGTTAAACAAAAGAATAATATTTTATAATTAAATAATAAAAATAATAATAAATAATAATAAACTTACTATTATAACTCACATCAAGCTGTTGTTCATTCATATTTTATACAACACACGGGACAAAAATGGGCGTTTGCTCAAAACTTATAAATTGCCACGTCAGGGGATGCTTTGGTCTAGATTTAGAAGTTACTAAAATGTTAAAAACTATTCAAGGGTTTCGAGGTTCATATATTATTTAATGTTAGATGTTTAAACAGTAAAAAATGGGTTATAAATATAAATATTTTTCAACTAAAATATAATATATTATTTAAAACAAAAAATAAGATAAAAATAAGTTGATTTTTGGGAATCATTATTAATAAATTAGTTGTTTTAATCTATTATCAATTGTTTTATTTAAAAAAATAATGGGATGTATAAACAAAATAGAGTTAAAAAACAATGTATATTTATAAAAATCCAAAAATAATCAACCTTTAATTCATAATAAATAATTAATTTTATTAAATAAAACCTTAAAGTAAATTGAGTATAATATCAATAAAACTATTAATATTAATAGTATTATTATAATAGTCCTGTTTATTCTAGCTTTATTAAAGATAAATTTTAAAAACATTAAAAAAATATTATATATATTATAATCATAATAATATGTAAAAATAAACTTGATAAAAGACAATTGTTTTAAAACCAATAAATTTAAATGTATATTTTAAATTATAATATTTAATATCAAATAATTAATAATTGTTATTTTCAATATTTAATTAAAATTTTAATTTTTTATTATATTATCATATTCAATTCTCATTTCATAATGAGAATATATAACGATATGTAAGTTAATATTAAATAATTATAATTGAATAATAATTTCATTTTATTTTTATTTTTTAACATAACAATTTAAACTATAATTACACACATTATTGCCATTTAAAATTTCAAAATTACATAATATTTATAAACATACTATTAATAAATTTTTAAATATATATATATATATCAACCCAAAAAACAATTATGAAACAACATATAAATAGTTTGTATTATTTAAAAATAAATAAAAAGATATTTATACTAATAGATTAAGTATTTTTCCTTATTTATAAAACAATAACAAATTATATATTACCCAATTCTAATTAAAATAATTAAAATTTTTGTCAAAATGACATTAAAAATACAATACATGGATATTATTGTCAATTTGTTTTATAATTGATATAATAACTATATTTATATAAATAATATTATAATAATAATAATGTTATTATTATTTTTAAACAAACATTAATAGCAAAATAATTATCAATTATATTATTCTTAAAAATATAAAATAAACGAAAAAACATATCATAAAAAGTTAATTCGCCTTTTTCAACAGGTTATATTTTTGTGTATTTTTTTTTGTTAAATTATTTCACCATAATACCATTTTTGCCTAAATCTATTTTTTGAATAACTAAAACTTACCCTTACTTTTTTATTAATATTAAACCATTTACTTTGAATGTATTACAGTTAGACGAAACAAACTTCTGCAAAGAATTAACCTTCTGCAGCTATAATTGGATCGATATTAATTTACATAAAATTTATTAATTATTTTTTGTAAATGAGTCGTAACAAAAATAATAATAATTATAATTCAAAATAATTAAAACAGTGTTAATATTTTCTAATTAAAGTAAAAAACA